CTTCATTTCGTGAATACCTCCTTCATAGACCTCAAAGCCACTACTTCCATATAATTGGTCATAAATAGTTGACTTGGCAGGTGTTTTGCTGAAGGTCCACAGAGTGCAACCCTATAGCTCACTGCCCACAAAGATAATTTGCCTGAGTCAGTACAGGAGGAAGAAAGAAATTTGGAGTTGAAAGGTATCTTTCAACTCAGGAACCTGGGAACACATCAGCATGCCTTACTGGCAATTCTGCCTACACTGGTTTGCTGCAGGCGATGCTCAGTCAACGAGTGAAGAGCAGTGGCAGGAGCTACTTCCTCATTATAAGTCATTTAGTCAAGCAGAATGTAGCTCCTCAGCTAGGCAAAGATCTCATTTCATCTCAAGAGCCTTATGTGGAAAGAAAAAGGGAGATGATACTGTACCGGGAGTAGGGGAATGGCTTTATTCAAATGTGACAACAGAAAATGAAGACTTCGAGATCCAATTTGTGGTGTAAGTTACAGCAACTTAGGTACTTGTCAAAGCTAATGAAAGCAGGCCACCTGCAGCTGTTGAGGARTGGAAATGTTATCCCCAATTCCAGCAGCACAGTGTTACAGCCTCCTCACRTCCCATCCTGACAAGCACTCGACTGCTTTGCCTGTTGCTTCCAGTTAGCACTGTGCTTTTCCCGCAGTGATGGCATGTGAAACTTTGCTGAGAAGAGCAGAGAAATCATCCCTGGCCCCCACTCTGTGTTAGGGACAGGAGCACCCTGAGGGTCCAGTGTCACCGCGACATGTGTGCTTGGCCCTGGGACACAGGTCACTCACAGAGCAGCTCCCACCAGTGCAGCAGAGACACCCATGGAATGCATTTAATACATAAACATTTACTTTCTCCTTAGCAACATCTTTTTATTTTTCTCCATGAAATTCTCTTTGCATCCTGAGGAAACCCAAACTGCTCACGGCCCATAGCAGTGGCACCAACTTAGCCCAACAGGCAGCTGGCCTGGACAAAAGTGTCTTTACATAAATTTCTGAAAATATTTTTCAAATTTAGAAGACATTTTGGAAGTGAGACATTTGGACATGACAAATATTGGAATCTTTAGGAATCAGGTTTTGATATTAATTGTGAGCTTTACAAGCTGCATAGCCCTCAGGACTTCTTTCTCTGAGGAAGTTTAGTGATCTGGATTAAAGTCTGAATTCATTCTTTAATGAAAAAGGAGTCTCATTTGCCAAGCAAAGTAAGCTGCAAAACAGATATCCAATGGGTGAACACACACTCCCAGAAAGAGTGGCTAGGACCTCCTGTCCTTTGGACAACGTCTAGCTCCTGCTCACCGAACACACTCCGCTTCAAGCAAAAAAAGTAAAGATCATTCTGCACATTCTGCCAGTTAAAAGAGATTCCAGCAGTGAGAGTTTGCTTTGACACGTGCATGATGAAAAGATGTTGTGCTTACATCAAACTTTCAAAGATGTTATGGGAAAATGAAGCCATGTCTCCTCTCTTTGTAAAGCACGCTGAAGAATGCAGTGTTTCTGCAGTGTTTCTGGTTCTGTTTTTCAATCAAGAGTCTTATATACAAATATAMACACACACGAAGACACATACTTTTAAGTTCAGGTCTTGTTCAGTTGGTAGAATATAATGTTAGAGTAGATCCCTTTAATAGGATAGTTTGACTGTACTTGTAGAGTCTGCAGGCACATCACACTTTGAAAGAAAAAACAAATTGGCTGAAATAAAAGTAAATCTCGCTATTTAGAACATTTTTAAAGAGGGCACAAACTTTTATTTCTTCAAAACAAATACATCAAATAGTAAAATATTTAGCAAACCTTAAAGTTTTTACTTACCAAGAGCATCATTCCAGACTTACACTAGCATACTTGAAAACTGTTTGGCCTTTCGAATACAGTTGTCAATTGTGTCACTTTTTCTGCTAAGTAGACTCTTCTCCCATGCATTATATTTAATCAAGGTTTAATGCTTCACTGCACTTTCATCTTGAAATGCTTTGCCTTATAGATGGTCTTAATTCCATATGAACCCTGCCTTTGCCTGCTGTGCACGGGGCRCTGCCAAGTCAGACTGCCTCTGAATGAGAATCTCTGGTTTTCCAAGGGCCAGTGCGGGTGACAAAGTAGTATTTCACCATTTGCAACTACTTTGAACGGTAGCTTTAGGTTCTATAGTTATGTATGGCAACATGGCTCACAGAATCCCAGAATGGCTGAGGTTGGAAGGGACCTCTGGAGATCATCCAGTCCAACCCCCTGCTCCAGCAGGGACACCCAGAGCACGGGGCACAGGGCGGCATCCAGGCGGGTTGGGAAGACCTCCAGAGAAGGAGACTCCACAGCCTCCCTGGGCAGCCTGTGCCAGGGCGCTGGCACCCTCACAGGAAAGAAGTTCYTCCTCATAGGGAGATAGGAAAACCAAAAGAAAGTCCAGAAACAAAGTGCCACCTAAATGATGGCAACCCAGGTGGCTGGAAACCAGGAGCTAGAGATGAATGGGCATTCCCTGTGTTTGGAATATGGTAGCAGCCCACCTTTCCTGTTACTGTTGGAGAGACACTTGGGAAACACTATATTTACAGCACTGTTGATCCCAGATTCCAGAGTAGCTGGCAGAGGTCCAAAGCTCTCCACGGGCAGAGGCTGGAAAGCACTTCTAAAAAACAAACAAATGAACAAGCAAATAAAAAACAGACACAAAACCAAAGAGGGAAAATAACACAGAGAAACCGCAATTCCAAGAGCCACGGAGGATTTCTGTGAAGGAAAACCGTTCCATCAATGCTGCTTTTTATTCTGGTCCAGTATTATTTGATAGCTGGAGAAATCCAGCACTGCATACTCACAAAACAAAGAGAGAATGGTTTTCCTCTCAAAAACTTCAAAACATGAGTAGAATAATCACCTGGCTACATTTTTAAATTGTATTTTTGAAGGAAAACCCTGTTTATATATTTCTACCTAGAAAATACCCCTTAGTGCTATCGCTTAATTATCACTATAGAATTTAAAATGACAAGTCTGGATCCAAARCACAGTGCAGCTAATGTTAAAGATATTTTTCTATTGAAATAATAGGTTACCCATTGATGGTTTCCAGACAGTCACCTGCATTTAAGACTTAACCAGACTCAACCTGATCTCACCAATCTTGAACCTTCACTGTGTAGGTCATGCTTACCTCAAAACTGGCACTTTTCTTCTTACAGATATTTTTTCCCCCTGAACAGCAGCTCCTGACCATCAATTGCCTTGAATGGATGCTTCCCCTAGCATTTACCTACTTTTTCACGTTTTGGGATCTGATGAAGAACAAAATTCATGCTGCATCTTTCAGTAGSGGAATCTTGAAATTATGGGGAAAGGTGAGATTTTTAAGAAAAGCAGCAGCACCTGAAGCTGAAGAGCATAAATTTCCTAAGTATTGCACTTCTCACATTCCTCACTTTTCTGTAGGAAAAAAAAAGAAGTGGAGAGGCACAGCTGATAGCCAGAATAAGCTACAATCACCTGGTGAAAGGAAGCCCTGTGGAGATGACAGTGACTACAGCAAACYGCCCAAGGAGGGATGCTGAGCACCTCGCTTCACACACAGCATCTTCATAAGGAGGCATCATCCCTGCCTGCAGAGAGCATCACAACTGCCTCGCCAGCCACCCCGAAGTAACACCCCAACTCCCAGGGGACTGAAATCAGGTGAAACGAGCCCTGTCTGGAGCCCTAAAAGCCCAGCAATTAAAAAGCCACAGATCTTTACACCCACTGGTGACTTTAATTTTGCTCCTCTCATTTGTAGCACTTCCCTAGTGCTGTCCAAGTGCTACTTGCTAACATGTGAGACAGATGAGCAAGAGCAGTTATGTGGCTGGATGAGGGAGAGGGTGGCAGAGAGATCAGAGAAACTTGTTTGTTTTTAATACAAAATGGGGCTCAGAAGAATGTGGTAATTAACCAACATTTTAATCTATACATTTTTGGCTTGCTACTTGCTGAGACTTTACACGGTGTTTCTCTATATTGAATCTTGTTGCTTTTCAAGACAGGTTGTGGCATCTCCCCAGCTATGCTGAACAGCAGGCACTGAGGTCACGTTCAAATCCACTGCTCTCAGCCTCTACCCACCAACCCTAAAAGCTTTCCAAGGAAGCTGCTCCAGATTTACAGCCATGTTGCCAAGAACAGAACATGCTCAATTACCTGTGAGGTACTTTTGCACTAAACACTGAAATTACTCTAGATTTATGTGTTGATAACATTTAGTCCAACCTTGCCTTCTGGCTTTTTGCAGTGCGTTCCCATCATCCTGGACTTCACAGCATCCGACAAGTGCTTGAAAAGTAAAAGAAAAAAAATCAGTGCAGGGGTCTAGGCTTTTTACAGGCAGTTTTATACACACACGGAATCATTCTCAGTCAAATACTTCTTACAAAACAAGACCAGCTGTTGTAATTTTAAAAAGTTTAAGAACACCTAGCCGAGGAGCTGCTAAGGATGGTTTTCTCTGGAGTGTGGGTCAAAGACACACAATATAAATATTACATTAAGTCCTGAGTTGAACTTTAGAAGCTTCGAGGCAAAAGCAGCCTTTGGGCAATACGCCGGGCTGTCAAGACACAGAAATGTCATCCTCAGCAGCGGGTAAATACTAAGCGCAGATATCAGGCAGGGTTTAGGGCACAAAAGCAATGCTGCCATTGACTTCTGCAGGCCAAGAGGAGGCCTCTCCATGTCTAAGAAAGGCCAGCACTCCAAGGGCTCTTTATACATAATCGGGGAAAAAACAACCCAAACTACAGCGGAGAGAAGTAAAGTAGGACATAAAATTTTATTCTGAAATGATCTCTGGCCACAACAATAAAATGTAACAAATATTCACTAAAACAGTCTTAACTCCTGTCATCAGCTGTACAATACATACAGTATCATAAAACTGGCCACTAGGATTAAAACCCACTACAACATCTTGAATGTTAAGTGGCAACAGCAGCATCTCACAGAAAATTATACGTACATATATACACAGTCCACATTCAATCGTTTTTCACATGTTTTCAGTACACACAGTTGCAGCATTTTACAGTCACGTGTCTAAGTCGTTGCCCAATAAAAACCCAAGCTACTGCTTAGACGTAATTGTAGCAGTTGAACTGAGTAATTACAATTTGTAGCAGAGATGTACAAGCYCCTAGAAACAATAATTCACACATGTTTTATTTAAATGCTACCATAGCATTAACTTGGACAATATTATAATCTTTGYTGAGTGGAAAAAGGAGGTGGAGGGGAAAGGGTTTTGTATTTATCACAAATATCATTGATGGAAAAAATGCTAAAAAATGGAGGGCGTTAAGTAATGCACACCCTTTCCTAAAGATTCTAATATTGCCCAATGCTACTTATGCCTAAAGTGTTTTCAACATTCCCACAAAGTCATTTATAACTCCAAACCACCCACCGAGTTAAAAGTGGCTTAAGTGCCTTGCACCCAAATTGTAAAAATCCCTGGCCACCTTTAGAAGAGCCAGGCACATATAAAAGGAATGCACTTTGGTTCATACCAAATGCCCTGGGATTCAATCACACTATAAAACTAAAGAGTTTGAGGTAAATTTTTACAAATACAGTTGATTTCTGTCTAGTGTCACCGTAACACAAATTTACTCAAAAAGAAAAGAAATCAATTTGATGTTGAAGTACAACCAGTGAGGAAGGGCCATCTTTAACCCCGTAGTGAGACTTACTGCAAGAACAGAGTGTCCCCTCCACCCCCGTGGAAGTGTGATTGCCTTTTTGTTTCTATTAAGGCCTCAGGAATCGACAGGATGTTTTTAAGACAGGCATAGCGTGGAAAAATACATCTCCTCCTCACTATCCGGGACGCAGAGGGTTAAAGAGGCCAAGCCGCAAGCCCTACAACATGGCATTGGTAACAAAAGGCACATTGTTAACACCAAGGGCACAACTCATCCTCTATTGTTCATCTGCACAGCTTGCATCACTCTGTTGTGCCAATACACTTAAGTGGTAATGAACACTCTGGTGGTGCAAGAAACTGAGCCAAGGGAGACTGCAACCAAAGACAAGACAACACTGTGCTATTCCTAAAGCCCAAAATAGCTCCGACATCCCCAGACAATGGTAACATGTGAGACTAAGCACTGTTTCCAAGCCAACTTCTATCAGCCTAATTATCAGAGCCCTTATAATAAAATCACATCAAAGCAAGAGGCAACGTCCTTTCCCCCCCTCCCTCCGTTTTTTACAGGTATAAATAAGCTACGATAAAAAGCAGCTCTATCGCTTAAAAACCTTAATGTAGCTGCTGCTTTGAGTATAGAGGAAGTTCCATGGTATCTGGGTTAAAAAAATAGCTCTGCACACTATATTTTGGCCTTAAAGTTTCCGGTAGCATTTATGAAGAATGTCAGTCATAAATGCATTATTGGCATCAAGAACTGGTTACACAAAAAAGAAAATTTAGTGGTTTTAGCCCATTAATGACCCATGAACATTATGAACGCTTTCCATTTCCATGAAAGGCAGGAATAAGTATCAATGTTTTCTCTGAAATAAATATTAAGGGGGGGAAATTCTTCTGCCACCCCTAATATTATCATCCCTCTTTCTTAACTTCTGTAGAAATAGCTAAGGAGAAAGTAAGTTGGTAAAGCCAAGTAGTTGATGGAGGAACTAAACAATCTCAACTACTGTACAAAATACACTGTATTGTGTGTGTTCTCACAGTCATGAGAGTCTCATCAGTCCGTTTTATCGGAAAATTCACACATTTCTTTTCCAGACTTTGAATTTGCAGACCTTCAGTTAATGGACATTTATATCCCAAAAGCCACTTTTCTTAGCTGTATGACCGTATTTCATTTTTAACATGATTCCATACATGTTTACATATTGCACTTACATACATTGTACAAAATTGTGAACATTTAACATCTAAATAATTTAATTTGACTAGAGGCAGGAAATGATATTTAAAAAATAATAAGAAAAATGGTTGATTGATGCTCTACTGTTTACAGTTATCAATCAACAAATACCATCCTCTACTCAGAAATTATTTTTGGAGCTTCTTCACATGTTGACTTTTTGGCAAGAAGTTGAGTGATATGTTTCCTGAGAATTCTGTCATTCCTTATTTATATCCCTCCCCAAGTCTTACATTAAATTAAAAACAAACCAAACACAAACAAACAAACAAAATTAACCTGTAAGTGGTAAATATTAATGAATACGAAGGAGAACTTAACCGGAAACTTTCTTGGCCTCTCAGGGGACCATGCTTTAAGTATTTCTCTTTTTTAATTCATACAATTTAATAAAATATATGCATATAAATGTTGTTTATACTAGAGTTATTGAGGTTTTATGCAATCTAGTCTCTCTTGTTCTCACATCCACAAATAAATCTTCCCAGATTATGTTCCACTTTGTCGAAAATTCCCTTTTTGCATGTTTTATACATCCAGTGTAGACCACAGCCATTGCATGTGCCGAAATACTGATCTCAGATTTCCAACCGTCCCCGTTGAGAATACGCTACCATGCAGGCACACAYTTCCCACGTAGGTCTAGATATTATTCCCTAGTAAAACCATCTTTCTTCCATGTGTCTAGTTAAAGTCTAGTTACAAACAAAAACCCAAACATAAGCACACACAAACACACAAATAAATCTACACGTATCTCCAACTCTTCCTTCCGAGTCATTTGCAGCTACCAGTGCTGAAGATGAATTCAAATTCCAATCATTTAGTTTTCCTTTGATATTTCTCTCTCAGTAAATAGCGGGGATAGGGTCTGCTAACTGCAAAGCTTTCCACAGAGGAGCTTTTCACCTTCAGTCACGCTCTCTAACAAGGACTTTTCCGCAAAGARCAATACAGTAACATCGTGTTTGCGCCGCGCGCGGATTTGATCGCAAGTGCAAATGTACCAGAGAAGTCACAATCCATCAGAAAGAAAATGCCTGGAGAAATAAACCCTTTGTGAAATCCATGTAGCATTAACAGTCTAGAAGTTACAGTGTTAAAGTGACAGAACAAGCGTTTCTGCCTACGTGACTTAGAGAATCCAAGTTGCATGTTAGGAGAGAAAAAGAAATGGGGGGAGGAGGAAAAAAAGAAAGAAATGAGGAAAGAGAGAGGAGAGTAGTAATGTGAATGTTACTTAATGTTATAAACCTGAAATGAAGTCCAGAACATTCTGCTTTACGTGACCTCAGCTTTACAAACAACTCCTCTGTCACTTCCAGACCTGGAGGAACGCACAAGCTTCCACCTCCGTTCCCTCCCAGGCCGCCTGTTCCTCTCTACCMCACGCACAAAAGCCAGCTGAACCCGTTCAGTGCTGCAGCTTCTTTTTCTCCAAACAGAGACAGCATTTCAGAGTAGGCGACCGTGTCATTACTAAGTGGCACCACTTTCTCTGGGCTCCTAGACAGAAAATGACAGTATTACATGCTATGGCTCTATTTCAAAGTAACAGTTTTACAATATTTGAGTGTTCTCCCTGGAGTCAGGCCCGGCCCAGGCATGACTGTCTGCAGGACCCAGGCCTGTATCCGTAAGCTCCAGAAGGTAGAGTCAAACACACTCACCCCAAGCGAAACCTAAGATGAACCATGGAAGAAAAAGGTTAATACCTTTGACACCACGTTGTAATGCATGACAGTCACGTTGTAACCAGTGGCCTGCCACTGATGTTTATTACTGTGTCACACTGTGTTACAGTAAGGCTAGTTGTACTGTAGAAGACAAACATCTTAAAAAATAAGTATAAAAACTTAAAGCATTGTCCCCGTATTTTTATAAAAACAAAAATCAACATTTCTTACGTTTAAAATGAGTGCTGAAAGATACAAATGAATAAAGTTATTGAGCAAATAAAAAYGTAAATCTGAGCTACTTTTTTCATACAAATAAGGCTCAGCCACATTGTATCTCTCATATTAACAGCATTGGGTTTTTCAAACTCAGCTAACGAGTTTTGGCAACACTGTTCTCTGCTGTATATTCCCGTTGGCATCTGTCATCTGTGCCAAATTAGTCCTCAGTTTTGAAGCTGAGCTTGAAGTCGGAGGTAACTTGGAGATCGACGTTATAGCACCAGTGCTCTCTGCAATTCTCTTCGCCGAGGCCTTCTCCCCGGTGGGAGGCTTGGGCAAGCGTCTCCTTAGCCAGGGATGCCGCAGCGCCTGGCTGGGCGTCATGCGGATAGCGGGATCCCATTCTAAACACTGTTTTAAGAAGTCTAGGAAGAGGGGATCGTCGCATCCCTTCAGCGCGTTGCCCCACTCCCGGCTCTCGGGCGGGCCACGCAGCTTCCCCCTTCGAGAGCGCCCACCGTTGAGGATGACCGAGCCGTCCGACAGGGTGGTGATGGTGCAGTAGCGGGGATAACCCTTGGAGCTCACAAAGTTTTTGGCTCGCTTGGACGAATCTAGGAGCTTGGGGGAAGGCATGCCCAAGAGCTCGATCATACAGGCCAGCTGGTCTCCTTCATCTTCCCCGGGCAAAAGGGGGTAGCCGGTGAGCAGCTCTGCCAGAATGCACCCCAAGCTCCACATATCTATGGGCATCCCGTAACGAGCACCCAGGATGACTTCGGGCGCGCGGTAGAAGCGGGACTGAATGTAAGTGTAGACACGCTGGTGCTCGTAACAGCTCGAGCCAAAATCAATCACTTTAATACCACTTCTACCCTGTTGCTTCAGCAGAATGTTCTCCGGTTTAAGGTCACAGTGAATGATCCTATTTTTGTGCAAAGCATCCAAGCACTGCAAAATGGAGTGGGCAAACTTGCGGACTAAAGGCAGGCTGAAGCCCTGAAACTTGTTTTTCTTTATTAACTCATACAGGTTCATGCTCAGCAATTCAAATGTCATGCAGATATGGTTGCGGAATGTGAAGTTTTCCAACATGTGAATAACATTCATGTTGTTATCCTTATCTTGCTTCCGGAGGTGCTCCAGGATCCGGATTTCTTCCGCAGCTTGGCGGTGGAAACGCTTTTCATTTCTCACCATTTTCAGTGCCACGTGCTGATGCATCTTGTGATCGTAGGCCTTCACCACCTGCCCAAAGCTTCCTTTTCCTATAACTTTCAGGACTTCATACCTGTACGCAATATGATCGTGGGGTACCTGCACGTAAGACCCCTGGTCATCATCATACCCGCAGTTGTTTGGACCACCAACCACACCTTGCCGCTTCTTTGCATTTGGACCCAAAAAGTACACTTCAGGGTAGCCGAAAATCTCATGATGCTCGAAAGCTGTTAATTTTTGCATGTATTGCTTCATTGCCTGCTCTGGTGTCATCACGGAGGCCTTCGCTTTCCCCGTCCCATCYGCAGCTTTTAAAGAGCTGGAGCTTCCTTGTCGCCTGTGAGAACTCTCCGACTGTCTGTCCTGAACCACTGGCAATCCAGACTTGCCAAGAGTTGTAAGTCCATTCGGCTGCGCCATCAGAACCGTCCTCTTGTTACTGTTGTCCTCAAACAGCTGTTGAACCTGGATTTGTCCGTGGCTAYTCACATGGAGGTGCTCGTTCATCGTGTGCTTATTGCCTCCGATCTACAACGCAGAACAAACACATTTCCARTTACAAGAAGGGCAGGACCTCTCCKTTTCCTCATGCGTTTTGCCCACCCAACAGTCTGCCTAAACCACCTCAAAAACTAAACATTTTCTTAGAAGCCACTTGTTACAGCTTATTTTAAAAAATACAGGTCTAATTAAAAAAAAATGCAGCTAACATGCTAGGATACTGATAGTTGTCACTATGTTTTTAGGATACTTGTATCTCTAATGCCTCTTTCACAACTCTCTAAGTAAAATGTTTGCCACAAAGCAACCACAGATGTGCTACTGTCATAAGCTAACAACTTCTTCCCAGAACCTGCAGGGCACCAGTCATTACGTGAAGTATGCCAGAGGGATACTAAAGAAAACTCACAGAACAAAGTAGCAGCGGTACCTGGGCTTGAGACCTATATATAATTCCCAAAGAATTTTTTACAGTTAAAGCTCTCCTAGTCACCTGTTCCTAGAAATTGGGCTTTTAACTAATTCCAAAAGTTACTATATATCAAAAGTGCCATATATAATTTTAAGCCAAGGGAAAAGTGCTGCGATGTGCACAGAAAGAGCCTGGACATTTCTTCAGTTGGAAGAGCTGCCGTTTGCTGCTTGAAATCAAGACAGACACCATAGAGCAAAGCGCTGAAATCACTGAAACACACGTTTACCCTCCAGCCCTTTGCCAAAAGAGTCTTATAACAACATCTACCAATATTAGACTTGGGGCCTAACACAGATTTGAAGGAAAATAAAATCTCTGCCTTGAAGACCATCCAAACAGCTTCATTTTAAGGGAGGGAAAAGTGTTAGTTTATTCTAGAATTTATGCTTGCTCTTGGCAGTCTTCACAAGGGAATAAACAGAAGCATTCAACATTTTCAAGCAATGAAACACTGGAAGCACTGGGGTGTAAAAACGGCTATTGCACAAAACATTATTTTTAAGGAGAAACAAGAAATGCACCAACATATACTTGCCACTTTTTCTGGTTATCTTTAGAATTCCCCACATGCTCTAACTTAGAGGATAATCACTGTCTTTCCTGGCTGGTCTTAACACAAAGATGGGGAGATTTCCCCTGCCGTCTCTTCAGCTGATTCACCACCTTAACATCTATGTCAAATAACTAACCAAAAGTTGACTGATACTGTCAGCAGATGATCAATCCAGGAGAAAGATTACTTTTAATCTGAACCTTATTTTCTCTATGCATCTAAAGCAAACATATGCATTGTTCACTAAAAGTTGCTGAAATTGAACCAGAAAATGTCAGTCATGTGCTCTGATATGAGCTGCAACTGCAGAAATGCTTCCTCCTGAGAAAGCCAGCCCGTGCAGCTCAGAGTCCAGCATACTTCGTGCTTCTGCTAAAGGACCACTCCGACACAGCAAAAACATGTTTTTCCAAACTCAGTAACTTGCTCCCAGGAGCCTCCAGCTGGACACCAGCTTCAGCTCTGGATGGGATTTTGATATTTACAGCTCACACAAYGTAGGAACCAGGGGTTCTATGTGCCGAGTTCACTGCTCTTCTCATTCCATTTGGACTCAGGTTGAATAACCAGTCTGTTTTATTTCAYCACTGCAGTTTCAGTGCATATGTCTATTTGCAGAGCAATTTGGGCTCGTGCTATCAAATTTGATCAATCTCATAAAAACGGCTTCCACACACGGTCAATTCATAGCAAAGGGGCTTGTAACATTTAAGTGCAGTGGAGACACCCAAGATAGTGACACTCATTGCCTTCCTGGCTTGATGTCTCAAAACCCAAGGGGATTAAATCATCAAGGGGATTTAAGGAGTCTGTCATGCCAGCAGGGAGTTCTTTCAGGTCAAGCTGAAGTGCATTGCTGTGATCCCTTGCTAGGAGTTCTCCTTTACTGAGCAAGAGAGACCTCTGTCCCAAGAGCTACCACAGGATTTAGTCCAGAAGAAGAGATGTAGTTATTAAGATGTTAAGATGGGAAGTTCAGCGCATGCAGAACTGTAAAACTGTGCAAGAAACACACAACTGCAAAGCCTGCAAGTGCTCAAGTCAGCAGCCTCCAGGAACAAAGGTTTCCTTTGCAATGTTGGTTCAACAATGAAGCAGAAGGTACCTGCAGAAACCAGGAGCAGACAATACTAACATATAGGGGGCAGGGAAGCAAGAGCACAAGTACATCTCTCATAAACAAGCACTTGGATTAAGAAACTTGAATTATTTTCTTTTTTTTTTTCCAGTTGAGTCATCTGTTTTCAAAGTTAACTATATTCTGCCCCTTGGAAGCAGTGAATGTTTCAACAGATGCCCTCGGCTGTTCAAATCTCAGTTATTCACCTTGCGTCAGGGCTTGGGAAAAAAAAAAAAAGAAATCATTTACCCACCCTTAGCAGGGACTAAAGATTTATTTTTCCTATGAACACGTTTGCAAAGACATTTCCAAAACCTGAACAACACAGCTCTGCTTTCCGCACCTCCAGGCAGCCTCACTGATTCTCTAGCTGCTGAGGGTGTTTCATTTGATTAATTTTTTCCCAAGCAGCACAATGGAGTCACCAGCACTCCCGGAGCTTCACTCGGCTCCACGGTGGCTGGTTTGGGCAGTTCCAGTCAGCTGTTGCTTGGGAATGCAAACGCAGATGCAGACAGTTGCACTAGGCTTCTTTGCAGGAGAAGACACCAAAGGAGTCCGGGTGCTATCCCAAGAGCAGTGGAAGAGAGCTCACTCTTGCCTTGAAAATCCCTGAAAATCCCAATGAGGTTTCAGATGGAACAGACACCTCACGACCAGAAAGTCAATATGCAGAATGAAGCTGCCCCATCTCATGATCCTGCCCACACAACTGCTCTGTTTCCAGTCGGGATGCGCAGAGGGTTGAGCTGTGACCAGCTCATCACTGCACACTCCACTTCCGTGCGCTGGGGTCTGAGAGGGCATCGCGTCCAGGCTTGCACTGATCACAGCTCCACAAAGTGCCCCCAGGGTCCTTGTAGGTTCCCTAGACCGCAGCCAGTGGGCCTGGGAAGTGACACAGACCTGGAGTCTTCCTAGTCCAGTACTAAACTGCTCATAGTCTGCACGAGCTCCGTCAGTTTTCATGTGAAATTGTAAGCTCTAGAGAGGTTTACAAACCTTCTCCCTCCTGCTCCTACAGAAGGACCTGCAAACTACAGACCTACACAGCTAAAAACATGTGTGCACTCATGCAGCCTTCCACTGTATTTTGCTGCCCATGCCCAGACTCATCTACTAAGTACTCATCTACTGTAAATCTTCTAAGATTTACATATCTTTATACCACACATCTTCAAAAACTTACTGAAGCACATGTGTCTCACTAAAGCATACGGAAAGACCAGATAAGCTTCAGCTCAAAGAACTCATCCTTTTGAATCATCTGGCAACATCAATTATAAAACGGCAAATGTTACAGCATTTTTTTTCTCTCTCTCTAGTCCTTCACAACTTCAAAATGGCTGCTACAATTTTGGTTGATTATTTTGTTTGCTTAGTTTATATGAGTAGATGTTTATGACAAAAACATTCACCTATACTTTAAATTAGAGACAGGAGGGAAAAAATAGCACAAAAGGATTTTTTTTTCAGAAAAGGGGACAGATGTGGAGCAGTAACTCACTATACCTACACTGTGGAACTGCAGCAATAGAGCAGCAGCATACAACTGAGCTCATCCTGCTAAAAGATAATTCATAATGTGAGATTCACAACCTTAAGAAAGGCTAATTACAATAAAAAAATACTATAAGCCCTTTTTCTTGGAATTTTTCTGGGTAGCGCTGTTTCAGCCCTGCTGTGTCTCACACACTGTCAGGTGGAGCGCTCTTCATTGCGTTCTTCATTGCTTGTGTTGCTCACTACAGCCTGAACACATGTTCAAGGGCCTTTTTTTTCCCCCTGATAAATGAACTCAGCAGCATTCCTGCATTCAGCACTAAAAATAGCTGCTAATTAGCATGATAAAAATAATGCAGGATTATGATAATGATTTTCTTAGTAGTATGGGTTTAACACACCTAAAAAGACTAAGCTCACTCTACAGAGCTTGGGCTCAGCAAGAGCTGCAGCCAGTACACACCATTTGGATTTGCTGCTCCTGGTATACCTGGAGCACATAAGTTTAGCTTTGAAAAAGTTATCTTTGCCTTTATGTTACAAGTATTTCCAGAGCAGGAACCACAACCCAGCAGGAAAGCAGTTTTCTGCTCCTGTCAGGACTACACTGCGCAGGCGCAGTGCGTTTGAGTCCTCCAGGGATGCACGCTGAAACCAAGGAGCACAGTCAATGCACACGAAATGCTGCCTTTTGGGGAAGCTGATGTGCACGTGTATGAGAGGTTTGTCCAAACGTGGCACAGTTCCCGTGGCACTGTCACTCCAGCCGCTGGAGTCCCATATTCCAGGAGCCTTGAGAAATGTTCGCCAGCTTCATATTCCCCCTAACCAACATTTTTAGGTAATAAAAAAGGAAATATGCAATGGAACTTAGGTCCAGGTCACAACCATATGTATAGTTATTTCCATTCAAGTCATAGCATTTTTATGGCAACAATGAGTTGCATGAAAGCACCAGATAGTAGGAAGATACTTCCTTTGTTTAGCTGCTCTAAAGCAGATGCACAGAGCACACCATCCACTAGATCTTCAGGTGACATAGTCCAGAAATGTCTGCTCTATTACAATGCAGGCTATTTCTTTTCTAATTATTTCATTTTAAGATTAGGACTGAATGATCGATGCCAAAGCACATGGGTAGACACTCATACCTGGTGGTAAGAGGAAACACAGCTGCATAGGGAAATTTTCAAGCCCTAAAAAAGCTTGTAGAGGAGCAATGAATCATGCACTGTAAACGGGATGTTGCTACAGTCGTAGGCAGGAGGAGAGAAAGATTGAGACTGTTTTATTGCAGGAGAAACAGGAAGAATGCAGAGTGTAGGGATAGGTGCCAAGTAAGAGAGAGTGTAGATGGAGGTGGGCAGAAGACAGAGACAAGAAAGCGTCTGGGAGAGGGACTCGCAGATGGGTGGGGATTTACAGGAGCCGAGCAGCAGGCAAGCAAGATAATCTCTGCAGCAAGATGTCAGGCAAGAGCACCGGCATGGAACAAGGGGAGCGCGGGCAGGAAAAGGTTTCCACTGTCAAGGCAAAAACTTCAGGCTTCAGACGAGAAAGCAGTTATTTCAAAAAGGAAAACAAGGAGGACAAGGGTTTGGAAATGAGCTCACGTTTTCCATCACGAGCACCCAACAAGATAAAGTTAGGGATGGAAATGGACAGAAAAAAAAGCCTGGATGCTGGATGAAGCCACAGATTTTTAAAAACAAACAAAACCTTTCCCTGGTACAATACACAAGAGCCTGCTTAGCAACAAAGGTTGCTGTGACTGCAGAGCATGCAGCCAAAACCTCTGCCCTGATGCAGGAAGCCTGTGCAAGAGAGCATCTCTCCCGGTCTCCCCATGCTGCTGCACCAAACTGAACAATGAAACTTCTCTGGAAAGCAGGAGACAACAGTTTCACTGGAGTTGAGGCTAAATGACATGATTCACTCTGAAAGACAGAAACAGTGAGTTTCTTCTCYATCAGAATAAAAAAACCCCTCTTTAGCTTAAATAAAAGACTTGTCAACTTCACTCTTTCTTCACAATTCACATATTTCTTGGCACTGCACCCATGCACAGCTTGCCACAAGAAAGTTGTATTGATTCTGCAAACTATGTCTTCTGTGAGTTTGAAAGACAAAAGAGGGAAACTGTTTACCTTACGAGCTATTKTAGAGGTCACATGGACACAACGGAGATGAAAATTTTAAGTAAATGAATACAAAAAGGGAAAATGGTTTAAGAAAACTAAATATTCCATTTCAAACAGTCCCAATCAAAGGAAGTGGTGGGATGTAAAACTAGTGCTTTCAATCAGTCAGTGTCAGCTGAGGTCACTAGGCCTGAAGTTCACATAATAGACATAAACAATCTATTTTTAAGTTAAAATCCATCATTCTGATGTCACATCTCATCCTTACCACAAAAAGTTATGTTAGCCAAGCACGAGATACTAATCTACAAAATTCAGAGATGCAATCTGAGGTATTTCTTTAACAGTACTCAAGGCTAAATAAATACTGCATAACAGAACCTGCATGACAAAGGAAAGGCCGAGTTTGTATCAATCCACATCTAGAGGGATTTGCAACAGAGCCATATAATGCTTGATCACCCTTGTGTGCTTCCAGAAATATTTTATCCCTTTTTATATGTACGTATACACATACACATGCTTATACAATAAATATATGCACTCATAAAAATATAAAATATGGGAAACACAGCAACATAATGCCTGACCACCCTTACATGCTTTCATAAATATTTCATCTATATGTTTTTATATTCACACACACATTAGATAGAAATGCACATATGCACGCGTACATGTATAGTAATATCAAGGTTCTGCACTTTCAAAATTATTCAATAGCTCGAGCTATACGGCTGGACCATGTTCACAAACCCAAAGTCAAGCCTGGGCTCTGCTAGCGGTGGGCCCATCTGCCTGTGCAGACGGTTTCATGCTGAAGCTGTTTATACGATGCCTGTTTTCTGTGTTTAAGGAAAAATTCACCTGCCTTCTCAATGCCACAAAAATCAACCAATACTTAACTGACAAGAAAATGCTACAACTTTGGCCTTCGGGATGAATGAATAAAACAGATCTATACCATAGCTACGTCAATATGTAGTGATGCTGATACTGAGCATGCAGGAGCATCAGGAATTTGCAGAATACCCATCATTCCTTATGAAAACACCCTACATATACTTGGATCTCTAAATTTAAGCCAATTCTTTCTATAAATGGATTTGAATAAGATGCTTTTACCCCTGAAGCTACACAGAAAGCCACTGGAAACGCCAACATCTAAATACATAAGTTTCACCTTCTCCTAGCCCATAATCACATTACCATTTAAAGCTCTGCCATATGTTTACCCCGATAGTACGCGACCACCCGTGCAGCACTGGCTAATTCCAAGCAAAGCTCGCCACCCCTGCCTCTCAGGGCGCGTACCAGACCCTTCACAACCCAAAAGGCAGCGCGTGCATTAAAAATCTCAGCTATTTAGCGTTAACGTGACAGCACACRGCCCCTGAGACTGCACACAGTCCCTGCCCTCACGCCTTCAGGGCCGAGATACCCCTCTCGCCCATACACAGGGGCATAACTCGGGAAGTTTCATTCCCGCCGGATCAGCCGGGATAACGTRGCACAGCAGCTGGGTTTTCGGCCAGCGGGGGTGATTTTGGGGGGCAGAGCCCGGGGCGGCGGCWGAGCGGGGCTCCCCCCGCGGCCGGGGCTGCCGGCCCCGCGTTCCCCCGCGTTCCCCGGCGTTCCCCGCGGCCGCGCTCACCGTGTGCGGGGCGTTGCTGGCGCGCAGCGGCGGCAGCGCGAGCGGCGACGGCGGCGGCCCCGTGGCGGCCGCGGCGCGCGGCGGCGGCAGCGCGGC